GATACCCAATTGTATATCTCCACCCCGTGTCCTTTCAGTGAAGCAGTCGACGTGATGTGCCGGTGCCTGGAAGATGTGAGGGTCTGGATGAGGGTGAACAGGCTTAGACTCAACCCTGACAAGACTGAGTGGCTCTGGGTCTTGCCTCCCGAAGGTCAACTTGATGGTCCATCATTAGTCCTGGGGGGGGTAAATTTACCTCCCTCAGTGCAGGCACGCAACTTGGGTGTCCTCCTGGACTCACAGCTAAATTTGGAACAACATCTATCGGCTGTGGCCAGGGGGACCTTTGCCCAGGTTTGCCTGGTGCACCAGTTGCGGCCTTATTTGGACCGGGAGGCTTTACTCACGGTCACTCATGCCCTTGTCACCTCAAGACTGGATTACTGTAATGTGCTCTACATGGGGCTACCCTTGAAGAGCGTTCGGAGGCTGCAGTTGGTTCAGAATGCAGCCGCGAGAGCGATTGTGGGCGCGCCAAGGTACGCCCACGTGTCACCTATCCTCCACGAGCTGCACTGGCTTCCTGTGGGTCTCCGGACGCAATTCAAGGTGTTGGTTATCACCTTTAAAGCCCTTCATGGCATAGGACCAGGTTACTTACAGGACCGCATACTGCCGCACAGTTCCCAGAGACCAGTGAGGTCCCACAGATTGGGCCTCCTTCAGGTCCTGTCGGCCAGACAATGTCGGCTGGCGGGCCCTCGGGGAAGGGCCTTTTCTGTGGTGGCTCCGACCTGGTGGAATCAACTTCCCCCCTAGATTCGAACTACTCCCACCCTGCCGGCCTTTAAGAAAGCCATTAAAACTCTCCTGTTCCGGCAGGCCTGGGGCTGATGTCCCCGGGGGGGGGGATATGATTGGACATGCTGTATGAATGTATATTGTTTTATTGTCATATTATTGTTTTAAATTTTGTACGCCGCCCTGAGTCCCTCGGGATTGGGCGGCATATAAATTTTAGAAATAAATAAATAAATAAGAAATAAATTGTTAAGTGAATCCAGCTTCCCCATTGACTTTGCTAGTCAGAAGGTCAGAAATGGTGATCACATGACCCCAGAACACTGCAACCGTCATAAATATAAATCAGTTGCCAAGAGTCTTAATTTTTATCATGTGACCATGGGGATGCTGCAATGATTGTAAATCTGAAAAACAGTTATAAGTCAGTGCCATTGTAATTTGAATGGTCACTAAACAAATGGTTATAAGTTGAGGACTACATTTAATTTCAGAAAATAAAAATTGCTTTTACTGCTGGTCATTGTATCCTGTTTTTTATTACTCAGATCTTTTTGTATATTCCAGATAGGAGTACTGTGTGTAATTATTACATCGGACTAAGATAAAACCCCTTCTCTGATTGGGAGTATCAAGGTGGGCGAGTTACAGGGCTGGCACCAGGATGTATCTCTGACTATCCATCATGGGAAGCTGAATAGTACTACCTGCATTTGATGGCTGCAGGTATATATTGACTTCCACTGGTATAATAAAGTCTTAGAAGAGCATCTTAAGGGGGGAGGGTCCTTAAATCAGACCAACTTGCAAAGCTTATGTATTGGAATGGGTCCAACAGTAGCCTTATAAGCTATGTAATTGTATTTGGAAATGTTTAGTTTCTTGACTCTTTTAAAGCTTCCCCCCCCCCAAGTTGATTGTGATCATTTCCCACTTATTCTGTGCTTGAGGGGCTCTTGGTGCTCTCTGAACTTGGTTGTTTCTCACAGACATTTCATTACCCAAACTAGGTGACATCATCGGTGCTAGTAAAGAGTGGGGTTTGATCTCAGTTTATATTCTAGTGGTTTGCCTGGTCAGTGTTGGTGGGGATGGTCTTGAAGGTTCTTTGGTTGGGCAATTTATTGTCAGCTTGCTTGGCAGTTCCTTGATTGTGACATTGTTTACTTCTTGATTGTTGGTCTAATGTTAATCTTGGAGTTAATCTATATTTATCTGGGTGTTGATTGATAGTTTGATCTGGTGCTGTTGCATCTTTTGGTTTCCTTAGGATGTTTTGAAGGGCTTGATTTAGTTTGTGTGCTATGCTGATTCCATGAGATTGTAATAGCAGGCTGGTGGCTTCTGAAATGTTCTTGATGTGTGACAGTGTTATTCTTTTTATGGTTTGGAATCACATGGAATGAATGCACACAAGCCAACTAAAGCTCTTCAAAATATTTTAAATAAATAAAAAAAACCAGCAATCTCAAAAGAAGAAAAAAGAACTCATCTACAACATACAGTATAATGACTGCAACAGGCAGAAGACTGGAAGAACACATCCATGAACACCAACCAACAGTTAGAAGACATGATAAAAACTCTTTAATTTCATAACATATGGACAGACTTAACCATAGTTTCAACTGTGACCATCCTAGACCAAGCCAAGTCCAAAAACACCAGGGAATTTCTAGAAGCCTGGCACTCTGACAAATTAGCCTCAATACACACATAGACATAAACAATATCTATATGCTATGAAAAAAAAGGACAACCAACAGGTCAAAAAGAGAGCAAAAAGTCCAAGACATCTCCCCATTAGCAATCAACACCCAGATGAACATAGATTAATTCCAAGATTAACATTACATCAACAATCAAGGAATAAACAATACTACAATCAAGGAACTGCCAAGCAAGCTGACAATAAATTGCCCAACCAAAGAACCTTCAAGACCATCTCCACCAACACTGACCAGGCAAACCATTAGAATATAAACTGAGATCAAACCCCACTCTTTACTAGCACCGATGATGTCACCTAGTTTGGGTAATGAAATGTCTGTGAGAAACAACCAAGCTCAGAGAGCACCAAGAGCCCCTCAAGCACAGAATAAGTGGGAAATGATCACAATCAACTTGGGGGGGGGGCAAGCTTTAAAAGAGTCATAGTTTATATGGCTACTTTTGGACCCATTGCAATATATAAGCTCTGCAAGTTGGTCTGATTTCAGGGGCCTATTTAAGATGGAAAGATTCAGTGTTGGTTCTTTGGACTAGGCATAAGCCTGCAAAGTTTGCTTTCAGCTCCTATATTTTCCATGCACATGGAAGAAAGTCGAATTCTAAATTAGGTTGATGAGATTATATTGTGCATAAACAGTTTCATTGCCTTGGCCAAGCCTAGAATTTAAGTCTCCCCCTACCAATATATGTGCAATGGCATGCATTAAGTACACTGTTCAAGTAATATTCAATAAACTGCTGACTGTTTTCTTCTTAAAGATAGAAAATATACTGTACCTTAACTATTACTAGAGTGCAATATCCTAATTTAATCTCTACTGATATGGCATATTATTCAGGCTGATGATTAACAATATACCTAGAATTTCCTTTATGTTTGTCTCTACCTTCTTCCACTACAACATTTAGAGAGTAAGCTGTATATCCATTTAATGTTAGGGCTGTTGGAACCAGGTTTCTTGCAGCAAGACGATATCAAATGTAGTTATAAAGCTTATGAAGGTAATATCTGCATTTGGACAACCAGTTAGCCACATTCCAACTAATTAGAGTAACTGTGTTCTGGTGGCCCTCATGTCAGTTCTCTTTATGGCTCTGAAACCAAGCCTGTGTATATGTCATAGGAGGCAGATTCTGGTTCTGATAAAGACCTTTCTGATATGATATATTCTATCTGGGGTACAGTAACCCACGTCCCTCCTTGAAGTTGCATCCCTTGAGGTTCAAAGTTTCCTCTCTTCTGAATTATATATAAGCAGCAGCTGAATGTTAGGTGATCCCTTCTTCATATTTTCATGACTAGTAGCTTTGTCCAATCCTGACAGTAATAATGGATTTATAGAACATTGATTAGGGGGGAATTAAGCCACTAACAGCTTTTTCTTTTATTAAAGTAGAATCTAAGTCATGATCTAAGCAGGGAGCTAGCAACTTCCCTCCAAATAGATGAGATGATGATTCATCATTATCCAGAAAGTTAATTTGTGTATCAGAATCCTCATCTAGATTTGTATTGGAGGCATAAGAAATTCTGCCTTTGGAGAATAGTTTTCCCCTCTTGGAGTTGCCTTAAGCAGTTAGAGTGGGGAATTATCTCTTATCTGAGCTGTTATCACTTAAGTCCAGCTGAGGGATAAGAAATGTCAATGGTGAAGTTTGTTGGTTTAAAATCTGGAGTATGTTCTGTAGATCTATTACTTGAACATTGTGAGCTACTAGGAAAGAGGAATTTTTTTATAGTAATTCTTTCAAAGAGTAATTGCATTCTCTCTGCACCGGGATGATGGTTTCTGTGATAATTTTCCTCTGCTCTTGACAAGAAGCTGTATCCATATTGATTATGTGGAGAATGTAGCTGAAACAGGTGTCTAAAAATTCTGGAAGGGAAAACACTATATTTTTGACAAGGGGTTTCTGCCATCCTGAACATTTTCTGTATATTACCTGGCTTATTAAAGAGAAGACAGTCTTTTACACCCAAAAGAACAAGGTGAAAAATGATACGTATCCAAATCTATGTTTGAGATGACAGATGAAGTTTGCTTCGCAGATTTTTTTTACTGCTTACTATTGTGCAGGATCCCTAGCAAGCAAGGTATGGAAAGGGATACGCAAAGAGCCTGGCTCTTTTGAAACACTCTATAACGCAGCAGTTGTTAAAAAATCAACTTGGGTTGATTTTTATTAACAAATCCTACATTATTGATTGTTGCAGCACTACAACTATCATCATTAGATATTCTCAGAACCTACATAAAATTTATCAGGCTTGTATTGAATATTAAAATAGCTACAACTGTAGAACCTGTATGTAGACAAAGTTCTCCTAATGATTATTGAGTAACTTTTCCTTTGCAATCCCCCCCACCTCACCTGTGTCTTATAATTGATGGAAGGTGGGGCTACAAAGGACCTTACTCAGTTATAAAGAGGAAGCTAAACCTTTCCTCAACCCTCTTCAGAGAAGAAGCAGAGTCTTTCTTTCTTGAGGTAGTAGACTTGTTTTTAAGCAAGGGTGTACTTACAACTTGGTGAGAATTATGGGGTGGTAGGAAGGATAGAATGTCTTGTTGTTTTCCAATCTTGTCTTATTGCTTCCCCAGCTTTTTTTTATACTACCAAGTGCTATCTGGGCTGTTTCTTAGTCACTTCTTTCCTTTGGTAGTCCTTTCCAAAAATAATCTTGCAAGTAGCTTAATTCAACAAACAGGTTCTCTTGCTCTTTAATATTTGTTGTGGTAATGTTATCTTCTAAAGTCAAAGTTAAAGCAGCTCCCTTTGCCTTCTTTTTAGTAAAATAGTCTTTAATTGCTTCTTTGATGTAAAATTGGCCTTTCCTTCATGCAAGCCATGCTCTCCTCACAGTGAATTCTAGACCTGCCTTGGGAATAGAACTTTTTTTTAAGAGAAGCAAATTATTCAATAAGTATTTATCAATTGGACTTTTAATCTCACTATACCCTCCAGAGCCTATAATAATAATAGAGGACTTCCTCCTGCTCTCATGAAAGGTCACCATTAATGTACCTTAGAAATAATAGCATTTGTTCTGTGGAGTAGAATAGAAACTTTGGTCAATATAAATTTGTAGACATATTTGTATTTATCTTCCCAATTTGAAGCTACAAGTAATGAAAAATTTGTTTTGATAAATACAGTATATCAAAAATAGGCTAAAGCAAATGAAGCCAAAACACAAATGAAGATTTCCCTATACCTCCACACCTGTTTTGGTTAATAGTGCAAAAATGAGCAGAGATGTGGAGGTTTAGGGAAATCTCTCCCTCTCAGTTTCCAATTGGGGTGGTGGGTATAGCCAAGCAGAGAAGGCTATCTACTCCTATTTCAATAACTCAGAATTTGCTGTAACCTTCAAACAATTTATTCCAGAGCAAACAATTCCATTGGCTGTGTTTGAACTTGGTTACCAGAATGGGTTATCAAACCCATTTTCTTTGATAAAAATGATACACTGAACCATAGTCTAATAAAACAGTCTTGGTTTGCACATTAAGGCACAAAAATCCAAGCTAACATTAAGCTAACCAAGTTCATTAAGATTGGCCTTTCATTACTCAACAAAGTTATAAAACTAAGTCTATTGTTGCAAAGCAGCAGGGACCGCTCTAGCAATGCAAGTCTCTGAACAGATGGTTCAGCTCTTCTGGAATTGTTCTCCTTTTTACTTTCTTCTTTCAAAAGCAAAAAATCAGTCACCCAGATTATTCTAGAGACCGTGTAATTTTCCCTCCAGGATGATGGAAGCCAGTAATTTAGCCCCCAAATTGCGGTGTCTTCTTTTGCTTTATGAAATAATATAGAGTAGATGGTCCTTCCCCAGTTGTCTTTGGCTCCTTATGGGGACAGCTAGTTGGCAGGAAGGGGTAGCAGGCACTGCGAGGAAAGGCATTTGATCTAAACATCCCATTTTCCCAAATCTATCCTGATCCAATTTTAAAATACACCTTTTTTCTGTTTTAATTATTAAACACTGTGGTAATGTTGTCTGGGGACTACTCTTACTTATTTACTTAATTATTATTTTAAAAAATCCTAGAAGGAAAAATACTTAACTAGGGAGTAGGATTCAAGGATGTATCTGCACTCATGATATCATAGTGCAGAAACTCGACATCATAGAGAACCCATCTGTGTTGTCTTGACAACCAGCTAGAGCTAAACACTTTAAAAATCCTTGTGAGAGATGGATAGGCTTTATTTGCCTTGCAGTTGAGCACCATCAGTTTGAGATCCTCTAAGCCATACAGCCATTTTTAAAATATATATTTATATATATATATATATACACTAGATGTGCTTGTAGAACTTAAAACAAAAACACTTAAGAAAAAGCATCTGTTCTAGAATCTCAAGTGTCAAGGCAACAACTGGGTGAGTGAATGAAAAAGTGAAACTGAAAGGGAAAACAGAATCCTCAGATCTAGGAAATTTGCAATAGAAGGAGGGTGGGAAAAGCAACTGAAATCTGAAAAGTATGAGGGAAGGAATTGAAAAAAAGATTTTTTTTCCCTCTTCCAAACAGGGCAAGACAGCTGTAAGCTGCTAAAATATCCCCCTGATCTAACAGGAACAGAGAAGTGACGGAAGATCCCATCTTGAAAAATATGATGGAGCCAAGTGCATTTCCTGAGACCCCTACTCTAGATGCATCTGATGATGTGGCTGAGTCTCCACAAACTGAAGATGCAGATGAAGGTCCAGATTCCCAGAACACTCCGGGTTCTTCTGAGTCCACTGCTGCACTGGATCCTTTGCTGCATGATGGCAGAAATAATTCCAAGAAAAGAGCCACCCACTCTTCCAAAAGAGCTGGAAGACAGTTGAGTCAACCAAGAGCCGTTGCACCCAAGCCACCAACTTCCAATCTTTCCTTATTGATCTACACTGCTGTTGCCACCTGCCAGAAGAAGTCTGGCCTTTCCATGCAAGCTCTTAAGAAAATCGTGACAAACATGGGCTACGACATGGCTAAAAAGAAGCACTATTTCCTGAGATCTATCAAGAATATGGTGTCTAAAGGGCAACTCTGGCAAGTGAAGGGCACTGGAGCAACAGGCTCATTCAAGATCAACCCTGACATTGGAAAGAAGAACAACCCACCAAAGATGAAAGGAAAAGGTCCGAAGACCAAACATTCAATCAAGAAAAAAAAAAGTTCTACTGTGTCTAAGAACGGCCGAGAAGCTGCCAAGAAGCAAGTCAAGGCTGAAGTCAAGAGAACCTGCAGAAGAGGCAAGATGTCATCTGTTCAGGCTGCTCCAAGTCAGGTCAAGGTGTAAAGAATGCCTGAGCTGCCTTTCAGAATGAGATCTGAAGCTTTTTGACTAATAAAGCAATCACTGTATTTGAAATTCAACAGGATCTGTATCATTTCTTTAAAAAAAATAAAGCAAATTATACTGTAGTTATGGGAGGGAGGTTGTTGGGATATAGGGAGGGAACATATATAGTTAGGTGTATATAATAAAAACACAAGATAGTTGCAAGCTAAGCCTTTGGAAGTATTTTGATACATCTCCCACAAGACACATCACTAACTTGAGTTAACGGGATCCATCTTGGAAACTACATTAGGAATAACCTTGCTGGTATGCCTTTAGGTAAATGGCAATATTGTGAATGGTCACACCCACAATGCAGCTACTTTCAAATAGCAATTTAATTCTCCCATAGCAATTACTTCATGTGAATCTCTTCACAGCATGCTGTCAATGTTACAAATGTGCCAGCTAGCACCCCCCCCCAAAAAAAACCTTGTCTTAAAATACTGCCTTAAAACTATTTCTGTACTTTTCCAATTTCTAAACAACTATCTTTCCAAAGGAGAAATAGCACTCACTCTTTGGGAACCAAAATCTGATCTATTTTGTAGATCATTTATGTCAGCTCTACCACACCAGACTTTCCAAAACAGCTGCCATATGAGAATATTCCAGCCAATACATAGGTAATTTATCTGCACAGTTGTTAAAAAAAATTATATTTCAAAATATATATTGGGTCAAAGTAAATGTTTTTATATGCTTAAAATGGATGACTGCCTCACAGCACCAGAAGGCAATAATGTGAGCACTGACATTTGATCAGTACATCAGTCAAATCTTCCTCAACTGACCTAACATAGTGGGCCACAGTTCTCAAGTTTTTCCTGACAAAAGGCATTAAGATTTACCTCTGAAAAGTGTAGATCATGTTGTGGCCCAGGTCTCTAAGCCTAATTACCTCAGACATCTCTAATATGGTGTTAATCATAAAAGTTCAGATTGCACAAGAAATTATTGATTTATTTATTATTTTTGCTACCCATCTTGCTGCAAGATGAATCTGGCTTACCACATTTCAAGAAAACCATGAATATATGAATAAATATATAAAATCATATTAAAATTACAATAAAATACAGGTTATAACTAAAGATGGGGAGGAAGGGAAGAGAATCTATGGGGGTGGGGAGTAACTGCTATTAATCAAGCAACCACTTCCAATGTAATATTCCCCCATTAGGGCCCCAAGCTAACTGGCAGAACTAGATCTTCAAGCTCTTATGGAAAGTCAGGAGGATGGGGGCCAAACTCACCTCAGGGGGCAAGATGTTCCAAAGAGACGGGGCCACAGCAGAAAAGGCATTTCTCCTGGGCCCTGCTAACGAGAATTCCTTGACTGATAAAACCCACAGCATTCCTCCTCTGCTGGCATGGGCGGGACAGGCCTGCTATAGAGGTGAGATGGTTCCTCAATTAACTTGGACCCATACCATGCAGGGCTTTATAGGTAATAACCAACACCTTGAATTGCACCCACAAGCAAACCAGCAGCTATTGCAGCTGTCAAAACAATGCTCTAACATAGGCCACTCTACGAGCTCCAAAGACTGCACATGCCACCATATTCTGCACCTCTGAATACTCTGAATATTCTCAGCATCCTTCCTTCCTTCCTTCCTTCCTTCCTTCCTTCCTTCCTTCCTTCCTTCCTTCCTTCCTTCCTTCCTTCCTTCCTTCCTTCCTTCCTGTTATGTCCCGAGCCTTTGCAAACGGCTCGGGCGTTTGCAGGCAGTCCCGGGCAGGTGCAAAGCTGCCCGGGACCAGACAGGCTGTCGCCAGCGCCGTGCGCATGCGCGGGTGCTGGCGCGGGAAAAGTAACCCATTTACCCGGGAGTTGCCTATATAAGAGGCTGCGAGGCGTTTGGGCGAGGCTGAAGCCATCTTCCTGTAAGCTGAACGCTGAATAAAAGAAACTGAGAACTCCAGCTGCTTCTCGTGTCTGTTTTCCCGCCACGGACTCAACACTGGCGACGAAGGTGGGATGCCTTGCACTACCTGGAAAGGAAGAAGTGTAAGCTTACCCAAGGAGTCCGGAGCGGCGGAAGAGGAACGGCGTCGACTCGGCAGCTGCCCGCCATTCCGGTGCGCATTCGGGGGTAGGCTGGCTGATAGACCCGTCTCCTGAAGATCCGAAGATGGCGAAAATCGGAAGGCTTTCAGAATTCGACGTCTCACATCCAGAGCGGTGGGAGTCCTACGTATCCAGAATGGAGAACTACTTCAAGGCAAACCAAGTGAGGGAAGATAGCTTGAAGGCTGCCACCCTGCTTTGCGTTTGCGGCCAAGACGCCTTCGAAATCGCAGAAAACCTTGCAGCACCTGTTCCAGTAGAGTCTGTAAGCTACGCAGACCTGAAGAAGCTGCTGAAGGAGCACTTCCACCCCAAGGTGTCCGTTATCTCATGGCGCCACACCTTCGAACAGAGGGATCAACGGTCCGGTGAGTCAGCCAAGGAATACATCGCCGCGTTACGGAAGGCCGCCAAGCCCTGCGAGTTCAAGGACCTCGAGGAACGACTGAGGGACCGATTCGTGTGCGGGTTAAGGCATCGAGAGCTACAACAGAGACTTTTCGCTAAGGAAGAATTATCCTTCCAAGACGCCTTAAGGGAAGTCACCGCAGAAGAAGCAGCAGGCGGCGCCGTCAAGAACATGCGGCCGATCAGAAGCAGTGCAGAGGGTGCGTCCGTGCACCAGGAAGACGTCCGACGAAACTCCGAGGAGGATCCGGACGAGGAAGTCGACCGTCTACACCCCGCGAAGGAAGAGAACCAGAAGGGAAGCTCTTCGGCTCCGCTCAAGTGCATCGGCTGTGGAGGTCGCCACAGGAGAACCGACTGCAAGTTCCGCTCCGCTACCTGCCGGGCATGCGGCAAACAAGGGCACATTGCAGCTGTGTGTCTGGGCCGACGAAAGGCACAACCCCAAGAAGAACGCCTGAAGGGTACCAGATTCCCCAGCCAGAATAGGGTAGGTTTTTGCGCTTCGCGAAGAAGCATCTGTAGAACAGGCACACACAAGCCCATGAAGAAAAAGCTGTCACTCAACGTGAAGCTACAAGGGGTTCCATTATCTATGGAACTAGACACAGGGTCTGCCCTTTCCATCATTTCATTGCATACATTTAGGAAGATTTGTTCCAGTAGTGGGACTAAGGCCAAGTTAAGGCCTTCTGATATTGTATTAACAGATTTTCAGAACTCAAGAGTGTGTGTTAAGGGGGAGGCCACCCTTAACGTGCAATACAAGAGTTTTGAAGGTCCACTAGACTTATTAGTAGTAGGGGGTGAACGAACGAGTCTCATAGGACTCGATTGGTTTGAGGCCCTGGGGATACACGTCACAGGACTCAACAGCTTACAAACACTCGACCTACAGGAAGTCTGCAAAGAATTTGCAGATGTTTTCAGCCCCCAGCTGGGCACATTCAAAGGACCACCTGTGTCCTTAAAGCTAGACCCCACTGTCACTCCCATTAGGATTAAAGCAAGAAGGGTCCCTTTTGCTTTAAAAAGTAAGATTGACACTGAATTAGACAAACTAATCCAACAGGGAATCCTAGAACCTGTTGATTCCAGCCCGTGGGAGACCCCCATTGTCACGCCTCTAAAGGCAAATGGGGACATTCGCATTTGTGCTGATTACAAATGCACACTCAATAAGGCATTGCAGCAACATGCCTATCCTGTTCCTGTGGTCAGTCACATCCTGGCCTCTCTCAAGGGGGGGCGTGTTTTTGCAAAGCTTGACCTAGCTCAAGCATATCAACAGCTGCCTGTTGATGATGATGCTGCCATAGCTCAGACCATTGTGACCCACAGGGGAGCCTTTAAGGTAAAAAGGCTACAGTTTGGAGTGAATGTCGCTCCTGGGATTTTCCAAAGCGTAATGGAAAACACACTACGAGGTATACCAGGGGTCTGCCCCTACTTTGACGATGTCTTGATTGCAGGAGACTCCACACACATTCTAGCTGAAAGGCTTAGGGCTGTCCTGTTAAGATTCAGGAAATCAGGCCTCAAGCTCAGAAAAGACAAATGCAAGATTGGGGTGCCTTCTACTGAATTTCTGGGATTCAAAATTGATGCTGCTGGGATTCATCCTGCTGAATCCAAACTAACTGCTATTTTAGAAGCACCCAGGCCAAAGTCTAAGGCCGAACTTCAGGCCTTCTAGGCCTCCTGAATTTCTACAATTCTTTTCTTCCACATAAAGCTAGTGTAGCTGAGCCTCTTCACAGGCTACTAGACAAACAAGCTGTGTGGCTGTGGTCACAAGCACATGAGGCTTGCTTTAAAGAAGTCAAGGCCTTGCTCACTTCTAACAGTGTTCTTGCACATTTCAACGAGTCTCTTCCTGTGTGCATCGCTTGTGATGCGTCCCCCTACGGGGTTGGAGCTGTCCTGAGTCACCTCAGGTCTGATGGAACTCAGGTTCCTATTGCATACTACTCCAGAACACTGTCTTCTGCCGAGCGCAACTACGCTCAGATAGACAGGGAGGCTCTGGCTGTTGTTGCTGGAATTAAAAAATTCCACGATTTTCTATATGGCAGGCATTTCACGGTCTTCACTGACCATAAGCCTCTGCTGGGACTGTTTACCACACGTAAGCAGACTCCCCACATCATTTCCCCTAGAATGCTTAGGTGGTCTATTTTTTTGTCTGCATATGATTTTTCATTACTCCACAAGCCTGGGAAAGAAATGGGCCATGCTGATGGCCTCAGTAGGTTGCCCCTGCCAGTAGTAGAAGCTGACCCCGCCAGCTGTCAACATTCTATCAATCCAAGCCTTGCCCGAGCTCCCTCTTAGTGCCAGGGATGTTACCGCTGAAACAGGTACAGATCACACACTTTCACGTGTCCGCTCCTGGGTCCTGTCCGGGTGGCCTGAGCACTGCCCTAGTCCTGAGTTTCAGAGTTTCTGGTCCAAAAGGAACGAACTGTCCCTTTCTCAGGGTTGTCTGCTTTGGGGAAACAGAGTTGTCATTCCCACCTCAATGAGGACTAGGGTCTTAGAATCCCTCCACGAGGGTCATCCTGGCATTGTTCGTATGAAGGCTCTTGCACGCAGCCACTTGTGGTGGCCTGCTTTAGATAAAGATATTGAGGCTAAGGTACACGCATGCCACCTGTGCCAACGATCTCGCCCAGAGATGCCCCAAGCTCCTGTGCATAGATGGGAGGAAACACAGTCCCCATGGTCTAGGGTGCACATTGACTACGCTGGGCCCTTTCAGGGCCAGTTCTTCTTGGTCCTTGTTGACAGCCATTCAAAATGGCTTGAGGTTGTGCCTGTCTCATCCACCACCACTGCAAAGACTATTCAGGTACTGAGGGGGATTTTTGCTGCACACGGGCTGCCAGATGTCATTGTGTCCGACAACGGCCCTCAATTCACCTCCTCCGAATTCCAAGCTTTCTTACAGGCAAACCTGATTCGTCATGCCACGTCTGCGCCTTTTCACCCGTCCACCAACGGTATGGCTGAACGCATGGTGCGCATCGCAAAGGACACCTTGAAGAGACTCACCTACGGGGACTGGCATCACAGGTTGGCTGACTTTCTCCTTTCTTATCGCACCACACCGTCCACTTCTACAGGGAGAAGTCCAGCTGAACTTCGTTGGGGGCGCCAACTTACTACTAGACTTGACCGGTTGCATCCGGACAGACTGCCTTCATCTACCTCACATCCTAGGGCACCTAGACAACTACTTGTGGGTGCCCCGGTTTGGGCTCGCAATTACGGGCCTGGTCATACATGGGTCCCCGCTTCTGTGTCCAGGATCACAGGTCCTCTCTCCTACGAGGTTGCCCTGGACAACGGTCGTGTCCTGCGGCGGCACATCGACCAACTTCGCTCTAGGCGAGACTTTTCTGATGAGACTCCTGGGTCTTTTCCAGGGGGGGAGGGGGACCCTTTGGAGCAAAGGGAAGGGCAAGAGCTACTGCCCACCTCCACTGAGGGAGCCACAAACGGCCCATCTCAGGGTTCTGCAATTGCTCCGAAAAGAAAGTCATGGAGCTTACCCACACAACAGGCACTCACGCCTACTCCAGCCAGGGAGTCACCCCGGGGGCATACTCACTTTCCACATACATCACACAGCACTCCAGCAACGGAGGATACCCGGGGGCATCCCAACAAATCATTCCCCGCAAGAGAGCTGGCACACAGTTCCCAAGGTTGGCCTGACCTTACCCCAAATCCTACAGGGGGTCAAACATACACAGAGCTAGTCGAGGAACCAAGTCCCGACTACAACACCCCTAGCACAAATCAGGGAACACCTGAGTTTTGGGAAAGTACAGAAACCCACACGAGCCCGAGCACAGAATGGGGTTCAGGGAATGGGACAGCCTCCTGACAGGTCTTGGACTGACCTAGGAGGTTCTACAGAGACGCCCAGCAGTGGCTATCACTTCAAGGGGCCTGAGGGTCTACAGCTAGGTAGGACAACCAGGTCACAAAGCAACAGAAGCCCTGGCCTGACGAGCCCGGTGGGCAAGCAAGCAGGCCAGGCATCGGGGCACAGTCCTTGGAAGACACCAGGGCACAATAGAGAGAACAGGCTCACGCCTCCCTCCAGTCAGGGGACTTATGCCAGTAACCCAGAGCTAAGAAGGTCACAGAGAGCAAAGAAATCTCCTAAGTATCTAGAAGATTACATAACATTGCTGGCAAGGCAAAAGCCAGTAATCAGTGGGAGCACTGGGGAGCAAAATGTCATATAAAATAAATGTTGTATGTTGGTAGTAGTTTTAGCCCGGGGGAAAGGGGTGTTATGTCCCGAGCCTTTGCAAACGGCTCGGGCGTTTGCAGGCAGTCCCGGGCAGGTGCAAAGCTGCCCGGGACCAGACAGGCTGTCGCCAGCGCCGTGCGCATGCGCGGGTGCTGGCGCGGGAAAAAGTAACCCATTTACCCGGGAGTTGCCTATATAAGAGGCTGCGAGGCGTTTGGGCGAGGCTGAAGCCATCTTCCTGTAAGCTGAACGCTGAATAAAAGAAACTGAGAACTCCAGCTGCTTCTCGTGTCTGTTTTCCCGCCACGGACTCAACACTTCCTTCCTTCCTTCTCTTCTCTTCTCTTCCCTTTCCCCCTCCCTTTCCTTCCTAGAATTTATTCATAGAATATATACAGAGAAAAGAAAATTTATTACAGTATATATATGCACATACATTCATGCAAATAAAATCACTTAACATTTCTCAAAGTTTACAATCCAGCAGGATATCTATGGCTCATTTCTACAGTATTTATAAGCAGCACATGTTCATAATATAAAAGTAATACATACAGAGGATAGTGTACATTCAGAATTCCCTATAGGTTTGCCCCATAATGCCTTATTTGACATTACTCTTCCCTTTTCAAATAATAGGTACAATAGACAGTTGAATTATGGCACTTTATTTTCTTTTTCCTTACACACAGCTTCAGCTATGGAAACCTCATGTCATCACTGACTTTTTACTAGAAGAATTGGATGGAACAGACTGCTTCTTCATTTTTCTTGACCTTCTCCTCTTCCTCTTCCTCTTCCTCTTCCTTTGCTTCACAACTTTCTTTTTCTTAAGGACAGCTATTGCCTTTTTCTTCTTCCTTCTCCTTTTCCTCTTTTTTCTTTTCAGTACTTTCATCATTATTTTGCTAATCCCATAGGAGCCTGTCAGTCCGAGCCCAGTCAACTTCCTCAGCAATCCTTTGGCCACCAAGGCCCTCAAGACTCTCTTGAAATGGTTCTTCCGCTTCTCCAGGCTGTAGCCACTGGTTGCAACACTCTTCTTGAGGGCTTGCAGGGAGACACCACTGCGTTTCTCAGTGGAAGCCACCACTTGGAAAATGATTTTGGAGATACCGCGGTTTGGCAGAAGGACTTTCCAGGGAAAAGAAGGCTTTCTTCTATCTTTTGACTTGTAACTAGATGTGGGTTTTATGTGCAGGCCTGAAGAAGAGGGTTGAGGTTCATCAAAGTCATTATTTAGAAGTAGTTTTGGGGCAAAGATGTTGGCTGATATTGGTACAGGACTGTTTTCTTCTAAAGATTCAGTATTAGTCAAAGAAAAAGTCATCTGTTTTTCACTTATGGTACCCATTTTCTTCTCAAGTTTGGCTTGGCCTGCTACTTCTTCAACATGACCCCACGTTTCAGGGTGGCTTGGTTCACTTCCTGTCTTCTTGTTAGTAGAGGTTCCCTCCTGAGTGTCACATTAGTTTATTCTGATGGTTCTTCCAGGAGTCCCCAAGACTGATTGCCTGCCCCAGAAAGTAAGATGTTGATGGGATTCCTTTGCAAGGCCATCCCACTTTGCCACAGTTATGACAGCAGTGGAGGAAGTGTTTGAAACTATTGAGGAGTTGCCATGGGAACAGCTTGGTAGATTGTGGTATCACAGCTATTCTGTGATGCCTTTCTAGGTGTGTGTTATGTGTCTATATGTGTGCCTCTTAGTTAATGGTTTAGCATTTAGACTGACTCTCAGGACCTATCACAAACTAGACCCTAAGGTTTAATTTAGAAAAAGATAGGTTACCTCACAATGAAGCAAATATAATAAAAGGTACAAATTCATAAAATTTAGCTGGAATAAAAGGAGATTTTGAAAATGCCACGGGAGGTAGCAAGTGACATTTGCACAAAACAAATCATTTATTCATTTATTTTTACATTCAAATATAAATAAAAGCAAAGAAAAGACAGAAAGAAAGCAACTTACTCTGAGGTGCTCAGGTCCCTCTTGTGCCTACAATTCAAAGAAACGGAGGCATTATATTCAATTAGAAAAAAGCAAATCATTTTATTTTTCAATAATATATTTTTGAGAACTACAAGTATCCTCTTATGAGAGACAGTATGGCATAGTGGTTGAAGGCTCCATGGTAAGAACTAGGAGACTGTGGGTTATAGTCCTACCTTAGACACAAAGCCAGCAGAGTGACTCTGAGCCAGTCACTCTCTCTGTCTTAGGAAGAAGGTGAGGAAAAATCACTTCAAAAATCTTACAAAGAAAACTGCAGGGACTTGCCCAGATAGTCCCAGGGCAAATTATTTGAAGGCCCAACTACTCCACCCCATCCTCATATTCTCCAGTTTACTCCCTTACCCAATATGAGACCACAACCTATTAAGTTATTATCAGCCCTGTTATGTTTTGAAAAATGCTCCTAGACTTAATGCTATTCCATAATAAGATGCATGACCATATAATGACTTAAGAAGGGCCTTTTGGATGACCATTGCCAAGGGAATGTGAATAACAGTAATGCCAAATAAATATTTTTTTAAATTTTTCCCTGCCAATTCATGTCCAACATGATGAAAAAGAATTTGTTTAGAAATTATTTCAAAAGAGAAAAGAATTTGAGAATATTTTCACGGGCAGATATTAACACTTCTTTAGTTGCAAAATGGTTCAATTCTCTCTGCAACGAACTTTATTGTTTCTGGCTTTCTATGCATTAATTAATTGAGCCGAGGTGGCGCAGCAGTTAGAGTGCAGTACTGCAGGCCACTTTAGCTGACTGTGTTCAGCAGGTCAGCGGTTCAAATCTCACCGGCTCAAGGTTGACTCAGCCTTCCATCCTTCCGGGGTAGGTAAAATGAGGACCCAGATTGTTGGGGACAATGTAAATATATATATGTATATATATATATATATATATATATGTATGTATGTATGTGTGTATATATATATATATATATATATATATATATATATATATATATATATATATACACATTGCTTACTGGTGTACACTGCTTAGAGAGTGCTCATAAATAAATAAATAAATAAATAAATAAATAAAATCTCTGTAGAAGACACATTTCCCACTGGATCTTTCCAATATAAATGCTACTGTCATTAATAAGGGGCTGATATGTTCAATAAATTGTTGGAGAACTACTTCCTTGATCACACTACGGATTACCAGGATCAACATAGTTGACGAAGATATCCTCTTTCTCCATGTGTATCCTTTCCAAAGCTGTTTACTATGGAGAAGAGAGAAACCATCCCAGACAGAAGGAATGGGACCATATATTTAAACTACAGGTAATCCTCGACTTTACAGATAGTGACAGTTCGAAGTTACATCAACACTGAAAAAAAGTGACTTATGATCACATTTCACATGACCATTGCAGCATTCTCATGGTCCTGTGACCAAAATTTGAACACTTGGAAACTGGTTCATATTTATGCTGGTTGCAGTGTCCCAGGGTCATGTGATCACTTTTTACAAACGTCTGACATGAAAAATCATTGAGGAAGCCAGATTCACTAAACAACAGTATTACTATTTAACAATTGAAGCAATTCACTTAACAACTGTGGCAAGAAAGGTGGTAAAATGGGACAAATTCACTTAACAACTGAAATTTTGGGCTCAGTTGTGGTCAGAAGTTGAGAACTATCTGTTTCTGTATTTCTACACATAACTCAGTCTTAGCAGAGGCTAGACAGACATTCATCTTTATTGTTTTAATGTGAATCCTACTCAGAATGCAGGGTTGGGCTTGGTACTTTCTAATTTATTTTGCAGGTAGTCCTCAACTTACGATCACAATTGAGCCCAAAATTTCTGTTTTTAAGTGGGATAGTTATTGAATTTTGTCCCATTTTATGACCTCTTACCGCAGTTGTTAAGTGAATCACTGCAGTTGTGAAGTTAGTAATGTGGCAGTTAAGTGAATCTGACTTCCCTCCCATTGACTTTGCTTGTCGGAAGCTTACAAAAGATGATCACATTAACCCAGAACACTGCAACCGTCCTAAATATGAGTCAGTTACAAAGCGCCTGAATTTTGATTACATCACCATAGGGATGCTACAATAGTGGTAAGTGTGAAAACTGGTCATAAGTCATTTTTTTCAGTGCCATTGTAACTTCGAATGAACACCAAATGAACTATTGTAATGAGAGGGGAGGGAGAGAGAGAGAGAGAGAGAGAGAGAGAGAGAGAGAGAGAGAGAGAGAGAGAGAGAGAGAGAGAGAGAGAGAAAGGAACAGCCTTTTGAGTCATTCTGTATTTTGCATTCTTTTTACCTTACATTTACCCAACTATGTTAATAAATGAATAGAACTTTCTTTAGCAGACATATGCCCAACTTACAAGCCCTCCCGTCTACAGCACATGATGTAGGCCAAGATTAGAAAGAGTAGGAAACCCAAGAGGAATGGAAGAAGGAAAGTAAGTAAGAAATCACTGAAAAATATCCTATCCGGAGCATCTTCAGGAGGATTAAATTCAGTCCCTTCTTCCAGCACTCCATCTCCATTAGCTGGCACAATTTCTGTGTCATTTATAGTTGTAAGGTCTACCTGAGAAATATAAAAAAGAAAAATGAGAGGGGAGGTGACCCTTTAGATCCTGGGATTCCTTAATTTCTCTCCCTCTCCCTCCAACTCACAACTTTCTCCAACATCCTCTCACCAAAGTAAGGTTACACCAATCAACTTGGAATCGAGGACTGAAATGATCGTAACAGGTAATGATAGGCTGTTGCTCCAATCTGCATCGGTAAAGATTGTCAGGTGACTTTGCCTCTGTTAAGCATGTAGTGAATGGATCCTTGGAACCCACTTTGACATAAACCCTGAAGGACAAACATAGAACATACTAATGATTACAGACCCGTGAGAGTACATCCTTTTTTTTTCTTTCAACTTGAAATCCATTCTTGCCCACTGAGTGATATACCAAGGACCACATTCCAATAAATAGATAAAACTAGAATGAAGAATTAGGCAGAGTCAAGACAGAAAGAAAATGTACTTGAATTAAATGTAATTGCAATAAAATTTAACTTCTTCATAGTTGGAACACCCAATTATATTTAATAATTCAACTTCAATGATTACAATTCTTTGGCAAATTTTAGAGCAGTTCCAGAGGCTGCCCCCAAGGTTTTTGACAGAAAGCACACAAGTGGTCCTGATGCTTCATACTGTATACTCTTGCTGGAAAACATAGATAGGGAAGAAACTATAAATTGAAGTAAATTAAGTCCTTCAAATCAAAGATTTTAATCTTGCTAATAATGATGTGATGCCTTCCCACTCAAATTTACTAGAAAATATTAGTGAAATCTTCTATTTTGCTCTGGAAGTGAAACAAATACCCATCTCCAAATTAACTATAGGGAACTGCACTGACTGGACATCAATGAGATTTTTGAGTGAAGCTGAATTGGGATCAGCAGCAACAAATGAGATAGCAATAGATCAAGATTTTCAACTACAGTCGCTAATTTATAAGCAGATAGATAATACTAGGCACGCAGCTTTAAACTGCATCTTAGATGAGGGAAAACTATCGGGGCTGAGTTGTATAGACCCAATGGATACCCCTGCTGAAAATATGAGTGCCTTGCTTGCCAGTGATCCACATTTTGCTACCTATGTTTCACTGCTATCACCAACTTCATTGACAGAATTACAGCCTTCTTTGACCTGTTATCAGGATAAGACTACACAGTTGGCAGAGTCACAACCACCAGTTGATGAGAATGTATTGCCCCTGAAAATAATACCCATTCAACTCCTGGTAGATATTACTACTCAAGATGTGGTACAACAGGCAACACAAGACGAAACTCCATCTTTGGCCTCATTCCAAAAGAAAGACTTTGTGAATATATTTAATTCACCGGTAGCACTTTCAGATTCCAAATGATTCTATTCTGCAGAAGGGGGCATCTCTATCCTTTCCTGGAATGTTGCAGGCTGGAAAATATATTTCTTCTTTTGATATCCTTTTGTTCCAAGAGACTATGGAGGATCCATTACTACCTGGATATATTCCCTTTACTTTGAATGCAATTCCTAGCATAAAAAAGGGCAGTCCATCATGTGTCCTAATTTCTATGGTATCTGCTAAACTCAGTGTTTCAATATTCATGCTTGAGTCTTGCTCAAATATGGCGTTAGCCCTTCTACTTAGATTCAAATTTTGTACTGTATTATTGGTTAATGCCTATTTTCCTCCATTTCGTGGGCATAGGGAAATAAATAAACTGTGGGATGTTTGATGCCTATGTAAATTTGCTATCATGTCATTATCCAGACTCAATTATAATAATAGCTGGCGATTTTAATGCACGCATTGGCAAATTTGATGCTTCCCTACACACCTATTTTAAGTGGCCAATGCCCTCTAAAATTGATGTAGGCTATATAGTAGCCAGACAATCTAAAGATCAAGAATGTAATATTGCAGGATTTCGTCTGGCTCAATTTGTGGACAGTTTAGATTTAGACCTATTTAATGGCTCTGTCAGGGGTGATTTAAATGGAGAGTTCACATTCTGGCATCCTAAGGGAGCCAGTGTAGTGGATTATATTATGATCTCTCGGAATTTTGTACAGCATATAGTTAACTTTTATATTGGAATGCGCCTTGATAGTGACCACTTTCCATTAATTTGTCTTTTTAATGCTAAGACAAATTTTGAATTATTAGAAGTGGCACATTGCCCCATCAATGTTACAATGAAGGGGCAAGTACAAATTAAATGGTCTCAAGAACTGGCTGAAACTGTGGCTGAAATGTTGACCTCAGAGCCCCTGCTTCACATGCATGTTCAAATTTGCTCATCTGATTCATATGAATAAGCAATTTCGTTGTATCAATCAATCACCATTAATCTCCAAACTCCCCTGACAAGATTTACAACAGCTTATTGTGCGCATGCGCATAAAAGATCT